AATATACTCCATTGTAAATTCATAGATGTCATTATTTCAGAAATAAATTATTTTTTTGTTATCGAGATTTGGAAGATAAAAATTGATTGATCTCGAGTTTTGAGAGCAAGTATTCACATAAACTGCAATTTACAAGAACATCTCGCCCAAATTTTTAATGAAAAATAGTTTTTTAGATTTTCGAATAGAAATTTATTTTCTCCCCTCTCCCATAAAAAAAATGCAGATATAATTTTAATTTCAATTACGCTATCAAAATTATTTTAAAAACATATATATTTCAGACCATTACACGTAGTTTCACCCTGAAGGAACAAATCAGTATGAAAAATGAAATAATACTTTCCCCTAAATACCGACAGAATAAACTGAGAAAACTGTTCGATTTCCAGACGTTCCCTTACCAGACAAACGTGATAGTAATTCAGTTATTGGTTTTCGCCGACTCGCATCGGTTGACATTCTTTGAGATATCCAAATCGATATTTTTCCCTTTTTTCTTTTTCCCTTTTTACCTTGATCCCCTATTGTGCCTACTTTCTCCAATAAAACGCCATCAAATTTACGATTCATTTTTATTCTTTTTGGACCCCATCCTCCAATGGATATAAAAATCTTCGCTCTACCCTTAAGAAATGCACTTTCAAACTTTTAATTAACTCCAGCTTCGGCAACTTGTAAAAAGCTATAAAGGAAAGAAAAAATAATAAAAATGGCGATATATACCTTCGCTGGTCGTGTTCTTTTTTAGTAACTCTCTTTTTTAAATATTTCTTTTTTTTTCTCAACTACCGCCATTTGAATTTCGAGTCTTCCTGTTCTGATTAGCACTTTGGTCACGCATGGCCGGATATACTTTTCAATTACTTACTGTCGGTTACTTTTTTTTTCTTATTTAAGTAAGTAACCGTTTTTTTTTATCGAGATAGCTATTATGAACTGCTTTAGTAGCTAAATTTATATTAATTGCTTTTTTTTTCCTCTGAAAAATCAAGCGATGCGATTAAGTAATGTTCGTGATAATTATTGGATATAATAATAATTCAAAGCCTCATAGTGTAGTGCAAATTAAAATTTAAAACGATAATCTGAAAAAAGTATGCATAAACTGTTTCAATATAGATTGGAAATTGAATTTGCATTGATTTTATTTATAATTCTGGTTTTAAAAGTACTTGAACATTTTTTTCGCAATGCCCACCTGGAGAATGACCTTCCGTCATGCAGACATCTGAAGGGCAGATTTGTTGGCCACTTTTTCAGGGGCACCATATTGGGTGGGCCAACGATGCTCTCACAGTGAAGACAGATAGTACAGAGAATGAAAGAACATCCATACCTTGCCCGGGATTCGAACACAGAACCTTTCTTATGCAAGGCCAGCTCCCTGACCCCTACACAGGGCGGTCGGCAAGTGCTTGAACATAAATTTTTCAATAACTGATAATTTTTTGCTATATATTTTTACAGAATTATCACTTTTACCTCGCATTACAGAATTACTTATCAATTAAATTACTTAGAAATTTCATATTTGTTTTTGTTTTGCTTTTACTTTGCACTTTTAACACATTTCCGGAAGCAAAATTACAAGCAAGCGAGCAAAACCTGTGGTGGCTCAGGGGATAGAGCGTTCGACTTCTAATGAAGTGAACCGGGTTCAAATCTGAACGATGGCTGGTCGATATGAATTTCACACACGGCACCCACACTGACCGCAGTGCTGACGTAAAATGTAGTCAGTGGTTGACGGATCATTGGTTAGAGTCCCCTTGCCGTCAGACTAACCGTGGAAGTTTTTTGTGATTTTTCTCTTCGCGTAACTTAAATGCGGGTTAGTTCCATCAAAGAGTCCTTCGTGAAGGAAACTTTCTCCCAATGCTTGATCCAGGAGTTCCCTTGTCTTCTGGATTGGGTTCAAAATTACAAGGCTACGGAGTTGAGCATTAGTAGTCGTAAATCCGTAAAATTGCGTCGTCTGTTCAACGATGGTTATAAAATATAAAAAAACAAGCGCGCATGATGAGTTGTGAATCGACCCGGTTTCGAATGCCAGCCATGGCCGGTTGATGCGAATTCTACACCCGGCTCCCGCCAACGACAGTGCTGACGCAAAATATAGTCAGTGGTAGACGAATCATGGGTTAGAGTCTCCTTGACGTTAGGCTAACCGTGGGAGGTTTAGTGGCGTAAGGAAAATGCGGGTTTGCTCGATCAAGAAGTTCTCCATGAAGACAAATTTCTCCCTATACTTGACCCAGGAGTTCTCCTGTCTTCTGAATTTAGTTCAAAATTGCAAAGCTACGGAGCTGAACATTGGTTATCCTAAATTCGATATTGTATCGACTGTACAACAAGATTTATAAAATATAATAAAAAACAAATTTTGTGCAAACTCATCGTATACACCTGCAGAGGTGGTCCTCCAATTTCAAGCTCTCACCCCATTAGGATAGGATTTATTTTTTTTTGAAGGTTTAGAAAGCTGGAAAATGCAATCATGGATGTTTTTTTAAGGTAAAGAACCATTTCCCATTATACACTTGCCTGAAATTTCTTACACTTGAGATTTTTGAAATTTGAATTGCGTAAAATTTGTAGTCAGCTCGAGTAAAAAAAAATTCAATTCCTCACTTTAAACATAAAGAATTTTGCCGAAGTTTGAAGTAAACATGAGAGCAAATCCTATTTCGTTTTCCTTTCGTTAAAAATAGGGACGTTTAGAATTGTTATTTTAGTTGCACGAAGTTCACGTTTCTAAATTTAATCGAAGTATTTGACATTTTCACGTAGCATCTTACTCCTTCATGAGCGTGCTTTCTGCGCAAGCTCATTAAAAAAAGGAGGTTGTTCTGTAATAACTGCGCTGCACAGAACTTACGTACATAAGCGTGTGAGATCCTAAGCAAAAATGTTCAATCTCTAAACACAAACTAATTTTATTTTATTTTATAACCGCCGTTGAACAGCCCACCCAATTTTACGGGTTTACGACTACTAATGTTCAACTCCGTAGCCTTGTAATTTTAAACTAAATTCAGAAGGCAGGGGAACTCCTGCATCAAGTATTGGGAGAAATTTGTCTTCAGAGAGAACTTTTTGATAGAGCTAACCCTCATTTTCCTCACACGGAGAGAAAAACCACTAAACCTCCCACGGTTAATCTGACGGCAAGGAGACTCTGACCCGTGATTCGTCTACCCCTGACTATATTTTACGTAAGCGATGTCGTTGGCGGGAGGCGGGAGTAGAATTCGTTTCAACCAGCCATCGCTGGGATTCGAAACCAGGCCGTTCTCCCTGAGCCACCACGCATCATGCATGCTTGTTTTTTTAGTTCAAGTTAAGTGCCCTAAACTTGAAGCATTGCGATGATTTTAAACTCTCTATATAATCTTGGAGGGAAGAATTATTTGGGATATAGAACTAATAAATAACTTAAATATTTTAAGAGTTATTAAACTTTTTTAAAAGTCGTCTTTTTGGCAACATTTTCAACATAGATGAAAATTATAAAAATCACTGCTTTATTCTCAGTTTTTGCAAATTTTTTTTGAGCCCAGATAATGCAGCAATGGAGTAAGTTTTTAAATATTAAAAAATTAGACCACCGAAACTTTTCATTTTCACAAAACTGTAGCTTTTCTCCATATTGACGTTTTGAGACAGGGCTCGAAAAAACTCAGAAACTTTGCCCGTCCCCGAGGACGGCTTGTCCAACTATGTACCCGTCCTCCTTTGAAACTAACCCGTCGCTTCTAAATAAATAAGAATATAATTTTCTTTTATTTATTGCTAACAATTATATAAATTGCACAATGAATTAGTGGTTACTAGGATTGCAAATACTAGGATAACATTATACGGTAATAAAAGAAATACTAGGTTACTAATAGTAAAACCTAGCAGTATTTCTTTAATGAAATAATTTATTTCTTTAATAAAATAACTTAAATAACAAAGGTCAAGTTATTTGTCAATTATCATGTGAATTTATCCGATGCTACTGCGTTTTTTAAAATAATCAAATACGACGTTTGCCAGTTCCACAATCAAGCCAATGATTTACAGAGGTTTCTGCACAGAAATCTGGAAGAAGTTTTTCATTTAGGTAGATGTTTATAATTGCGGTTGACGCTTCTTGTTTAAGACCAGTACGTAATGTGTTTTTTTGTAAGTTCATTGCTGAAAAGCCCCTTTCAACCGCTGCAGTACTCCCAGACAGAGAAAACATCAATTCCACCATGCGCAGTATGCTGCTGTATTTCGAGATTAGAGGGTAATTTTAGAAGTGAGGAGTTAGACTCCTGTAAGATAACAGAAATTGAAAATATATCACGAACATTAACGGGAAAATGGCTGTCCGCGCGGACGTTGGATTCGAGAAATTTGTTGTCCGCGGGGAATTTTTGACCGCCGAGGACGGGCGGAGGGGCGGTTTTTCGAGCCCTGTTTTGAGACATTTTCAAAATAAGCGTAGACAGTGCTTGCTTTCGGAAAAAAGCATCATTTATTATGACGGAGCCTTTACCATTGGCGTCAATAGATGGAGAAATCTAGCATCTGATCCAGCCAAACAGAAGTGACTTGTTGGGACAGTTTTGGTCCATACTGAAGGAAGAAGAAATGTCGTTTTCGAAACGAATTTTACTATAAGATATTTTGATTAACGCACTTTGTTTTGGCAATGTGGAAACTCACATAAAATTTAAAAGTACTCAATTAGTCTGTAAATGTAAGTGCAACGAAAAATTTAATGAATAAAAGGGAAAAGGACAGTGCGGGATCAATAAGCACATATTTTTTTTAAAAATGTCATTCATTTTAACAATTTTCTGGTGATTTCTGAAAATTCTGTAGATTCAAATGAAAATGGAAAATCGCTGCTAAAACACGTAAAAACTATCGAAAAATATGCTAGTATTTTTACTAAGCAGATCGTTTAAGCATGCAATAAATAGTGAGGCAATAGGTTTCGAATAAATAAACAAACAAGTTGATAGTATAATAATGAATATACACTTTATTTACAAATATTTATACAAATTGATTTTTTGTAAAAACATGGCATCAGAATAATCATGTGTCATACAAATTTTGAATCAGCACAAATGCTTGCTGAGCATGAAAATAAATCTAATACAACGACGACGTATATTTTTACTAAAAAATTGCTTAAAATATTTAAAATATATTTTTGTGCGTCAGCAGAAATCATAAAAGTATATTACAAATTGTTTGATATAGAATGTTCTTTACTTTTAAACAAAATATCTTACAGTTTGTTAACAATGCAATAGTAAATTAATAAACATAGATTGAAAACAAATTTGCACAAATATTGAAAAATATTTGCACAGATTATAAAAATTGAAATAAAAAAGTATAATAGTTTTTATTGTTAAATTAGACAGTTTACGTAAATAACGGTTAAAAAACGTATATGATTTTAAAAAAATTCGTCGTAAATTAAGAAATATTCAATTTTATAGGTTTCGTAAACACATTGTTAGAAAAATACAATAAAAATGAAAAAAAAGCAAAGTTTTGAATAAACTACATAAAAACACAGATCTACAAGAAAAAGTTGTAGTTGTTTTATTAAAAAGAAAGAGTTAAATATAAATGTAATGCTGTAGCACAATTTGTGGACAAAGGTTGTAATTTCTATCATTAAAGCTGTTTAGATTTTTCATTTAATTTATTATAGAAAAAAAAAATATTTCTCGAAAAATAGTTTTCTCGAACAAATTAATTATTTTTTGCTATTTTCAGATAAAAGAAAGCCAATTTCAATCTACTTTTAGTTGCAAATGCATTATTTATTTTTGCAACAATATGTTTATAATTATAATAATTTTATTCAATTAGGAAAAACCTCGACCTCAGATGAGACACCGAAATTAAGTATTAATTAATTGTAAAAATATTTCAAAAATAAGATAGAAGTTTTAAAGTAATATCTTTAAATTTCCTAAAAGCACTTTCAATGAATAATATAATATTGATTTCAGAAGCATTACAAAATTTCACCTTTTATAACAATTGCTTTCAATATGTTTTGGAATTTGTCTCTCTTTAAACTTCAATTGGAATGAATTTTTATAAAATAGATAATCTAAAAAAATATATCACAATTATTTATAAAGAGGAAATCAAATACAAAGTTCTTTTCTTAATTCAATTCCCATTCCATTACGGAACGGAACGTTTGGCGAACGTCTTCCCCTTGAAGACAATATCATGAAACACACTCAAATGGAACAAGCTCAGAAACATATATTGAGTTACCGGACGATATAGAACGAATTTCGAACATTCCTTCAGGATTTCGAAAAGCTTGTAGAAGAGAGCACTAACACAATTTTCATTGCCTGATATGATTTGTGGAAGGGCCTTTTCCTTCAATTACCCTTCCTGTCATAGCCATCCGAAGTCCCTGCCCACCATCTGATAAAATTTGAGGTTGAAGGGCCTATAAAAGTCCCTTAACCTCGTTATAGTGGATGGAGTAATATCGGGGTGAGTTCTGCCCTTGGTCTTGCCCAGGCAGTGTGGATTCCCGTTGCCTTCGGACTTTTTAAGACAAGGGAATCCTTTGGTCTCGTTAAAATAGAAGTGCTTGTCGGTTATAATCCTCTTCAGACCAAGGAAGTCCTGGACAAGGGCCATTTCACCTGCAGGGTCCTTGATGAGATTCTCTCCACTTACAAAGTGGATTTGTCTCAAGTGGAAGAATTTTATCCACCATTCCAGAAACCTGGAGTACACACCGATCCTGATGGCACTCCAGGACGTGTCCACCAATCCGGTGGTGGAGTTTCGAAACGTCATTTTGTCGAAGGATGGACTGGTGCCCAAGCCTCTCTTGCTGGCTGTTTGGGTGTAGTCCGAGATTGCTCTCGTGACTGGGTCTCTGACCACAACAATGAGCTTCACCAATGGCGACATGCGATGAAGACGATGAGGAACTTCTCTAGTGATGAAGTAACTTGGAGTTTTTTCCATTGTTATTTGGCCATCCAAGCTCGTCGGCATTTGTTGTCTGTAATAGTAAAAAAAAAAGCTATTAAATAAATCTAACATAATATCTTTGATTTTTACGAAATAATATTTAGATACTGTTAATGTGAAAAAACACATTTGTTTATTTTCATACAGGGTGAACATTAGTGATTGGTAATTGCTCATCCTACAAAGAGAAATATTACTTGTAATGAAGTAATGTAGATCGAATTTTGATAGGTTTTATTTATCTTTTTTTCTATTTTGTGACACATAAATAGTCGTTCATAGGGTCATATGATCAGTCCTGAAATTTTGCCCTTTCAGAAACATCTTTTACAGCTTAAACATCTTATGTTTGTTAGAAACCCAATTTTCATTTAATGAGGAATCCCTTCTCCAGTTCGCTACGTGCTCGTTATCCCTCGCGCCTGCTTTCTCTGTTTATTTCCAACTGCTTCACTTGCTCATAGGATACTGATTCATATTCATTCAAGTTTGTCGCTGTATGAGTGATAGTACTGTTTTATAAACAATTTACAAAAATATACAGCATATAATTCATAATTATAAATTCCTGTATTTGGAAATCAGATTAGACAGATTTAATTTTTTTTATTTAATCATAAATGCGAAAAAGTGTGTGAAAAGACATGCACCGTAAAAACTGCTTGGGTAGAGTCTCCAAACAATTGTGTTATGAAACATTTTGAGTTTACACCAATTTTAATATTGATATGCACTTTAAGGGATAGTATTCAAATCTGAATAGCAATCCTGAACCATATTCCAGGCATAAAATTATTTGTGAATTATCTTCTTTACCGAAAACACTAATTTTGGCATATTTTGGATATCACCAGTAGATTGCTTACAGCCGAGTACGAGATGTCTTGAATTTATTGTTATCTTCAATGCTACCAAACATCTACAGATGCAAGATGTTTTTAGTTATGTAATAAGAATAATTATATTTTAGCTTTTAAGTATCGGTCAATTGCATTAAATATTTTTCTTAGATTTCACTTCTATCAGCATCTGTTCTACTAAGCCTAGTTTGAATTCAAAATAATATACTTTATGTAATTTGTGCATGTTTGATGGACAAAATAATTTTATTTTAAGAATTAGTATTTGTATGCATCCGAAATTAATGATTCTTCTTTATATTGTATCCTGAAAATAACTTTTTATTCACTCTTAGGTGTATCATATCTCACTGTAGCTAGAAATTTCAGTGTTACTGAATATCAAAAATAGTGCCAGCTGTTTTACACCAAATAGTGTAAAAGAACATTTTTGGTGTTTCATTAAACCAAGAACTACCATGAACCAAGAATTAAGTATGATCATCAATTTGGTGCAAAAGAATTCCCACCATTTTTTGTCTAAAGATACACTAAAATGTCTTACAATGTAGTAACAAAAGAAGTAAAATAGTAATGTTCCAGGTTTGAAACACAAATTTAGGCTGAATACGGTATTCAACATAAGTAGCACAAAGGTTTGTCAATTTGGTTGATTATGTTCTACTTATTCATCAAAATGCCTCTCTTCGTAAACTATTAAGCCTCATTAAAACTGAAATATCTCTCTCAACTATTAGGTAACCTGCATAAATTAATAAACGGAATTGAAATGAAAATATAGCACAGTTTGTTTTGGTACCTAATTTTTCATTTCTGCCCAAGTTAAAGCTCAATTCGTTTTGGGTTTTCATTGCCAACGTGTGAACAGAAATTTACTCGGTTTTGGGACCATGTATTATTAATTAATGTAATGTAGTTAATAAAATTTAAAAAATTGTGGTGTTGAATTTTATATTTAATTTTTGAAACTTTTAATATGCAATAAGTTTATCCATAAGGCATCCTCATCGTCCTGGAATTGCTGTCTTGTAGAGTTTAAGATTTTGGATCCTTCTTTTCAGTTGTAGTTTTTTTATCATTGGTAATTTTGAGTGATTTAAGATGCTTTGGAATTTTTTTCTTTACATCTAGTTCAAGGTTTTCCGCTGTATGGAAAGAGAAAATTGAACAATTACCTGAAATTATTCACAAACTTTCAACTACAAGAAAATGAGACCAATAAAAAAAATGTTGCAAAATAGAGTTTCCTCTAGATCTTGATCCTCCAGGCTTTCCGTCTATTAATCTTTTGACATTTTTTCCAAGACCATTTTTAGGATGTGTACAAACCATTAGATTATTTTTTTATTATATATACTAAAATGTATGGTTTCTCATATTTTTTATCGATTTCTTTCTTTGTTCTGATCCTCCAATGTCAATCCTCACAAATTGAACCAAAAACCTTCCATAAAATTTTCTTTTCCCATATGCTTAAGAGATCAGAAATATATAAAGCAAATAAAACTATCGCTATTTATTGCTGCAAATATTTCCTAAATACATTTATTATTTATTATCTTCCATATTCTCCCCACGAAGAATATTTTTATTCTAAAATTGAAAAGGGTAATTTTTATAGCATCTTCCCCATATTCATCCCTCTTTATAAGCATTTTTATTCTCTATGACTTCACATAATAAAAGAACCCCCGAATAGACCAGGTGACACTGACATATTAAGCAAGAAGGACTGGGAGAGGGGAGGATCGTCTGCACGAGGAACTCAAACCTTGATAACATATCCAACAACGCAGAAGGGACCGCGATACTGACAAAAATAGAATGCCTTGAATAACAAAAAACATAGCTCCATAGAAACATAGCTCCAGAAATTCGTCAGGAGTTGTCATATATTTTTTCCACCTTAGCATATTAGAAGCCGCTGGACCGTACGTATTTTTTTCTTTCCTTTTTTTTCCGACAATCCCGAATCTTTTATTGTCAGAGATTTCTGTTGCGTTTCCTCTTGAATGGATTTTCTGGTAGCTTTATGGAAGAAATATAAAGCTGAGGGGACCCCAAATCTTATTTTTTCTCTTAAAGAACAACCCTGGTGTAATGTTGCTTTCCATATTTTTTATTATCTTTTTTTATGGTGCCTATTTTAGTACCGTTTTGTATGTTAAATTTGTTTTATATAAAAGAAGAAGTATGCGTAATTTAATATGTCTTGGTTTTTTTTCGTCTTGTAGCTTGGAGTTTCGGCACAACCATTTTCTGCTATTAAATATTGCGTTTAAAAAAATAAATATTTTAAATAAATATCTTTATTTTCCAATGTTAATGAAAGTATTTGAATCATGGATGCAATACACTTTGAAGATAGTTTGCGCAATAAAAAAATCAACGTGACCAAATTTCAAAATTGAGACTTTATATATCTGGCATTTTCATATTATTATAAAACAAAAAATATTTCTTTAATATTAATAAATTTTGTTTTATTAGTTTTAAAAATTCTGCTTTAGCGTTCATAGCATTAGCAGTGGAAGGAAAGTAGTTACAAAGTGGAAACTTATCCCTTACGCTTATTATCAAAGCGGAAACTTATCACTTTTCGGAACTTATCACTTACGTTGTTTTTTAATTTGTACGGTAGTATACAGTATTAGAAAAATACATTATATTAAAGCTTCGATAACGATCAACCTATCTTTCTTAATCCTGTACAGTACGCAAAAACGAGAAATGAACACCATGAATAATTTTGATTTAATGATCAGATTTTCCCGTACTATAGGACTCAATCTTACTGGTTCAAGGACCTGATCCATATATGATAATTAATTCATGCCAACGATGTTTTAAGTTACTAAATTAGACACATTCACTGAATTAACATACACTTTTTCCAAGAGATTTAGATTCCTTACCTCAAAATATGCGAGATGAACGCAATAGTTTTGAAAAATCAAATACTTAAAAAAGTCGTGTAGTTAAAATTTGATTTCTAAAGAGTACTAAATAAGTATTCTACTAACTAACTAATTGACGCAACTAAGTATTCGATGATAACTAACTCGTTAACTATGCATTCGACAATAAGTATTAAGTATTCGACTGATTCCGTTCAAATTGCAAAGTTTGATTTTGAAAGTCTATTTATATATTCGATTATTATCAACAACAAAAAAATAATAAATAGTTATTTAAATTATTTTTTGCACGGACTAATCTTCGGATATATGAATTTTATAATTGTATCCAAAAACTTTTCAATTCACCTAAAGATATATCGAGATATGGCGAAATACTCATAAATAAAAATTAGCGCTGAGAAGTCCAAACTTTGAACCGTTTTTTCTAACCAATGTAACCATATTTTCCACATTGCGTCTTCTCCACATATTTTGAGTGTAAGGATTCAAATCCATTGAAAAAAAACACATTTTATTCGGAGAAACTGAACTGTATTGTCTTATTTCGTAAATTATACTAATGTCTACTGTTATCAATAAGAATATCTTAAACCACTATCGTGAACCTTTAAGATTGAGTCCTAGTGCGTGAAAATCTGATCTGTAAATCAAAAGTTACTCTTTTTACTGAACTCCAAAAAAACGGACCTTCCTGTATAACTTTTGATTTAATGATCGGACCTTCACGTTCTAGGACTCAATCTTAATGGTTTGTGGAGGTGACCTCAAATGTGCTGATTAATAGTGCAAACAATATTTTAAGTTACAAAATCAGACGCAAAAACGTACTTTTTCTAAATAAACATGCCCTTTTTTTAACCGATTCGGATTTCGAACCCCGATGATATAGGGAGTAGCCGTAATCTAGGAAATATAGTCTACATAGTTTGGTCAGCAGAGCGATCCAAAGTCTGGACCCTTAAATGTTAATTTTACTTTTACGTTTTTTGTCATATATCGAGAACTTTTTAAGCTAATTTAAAATATTTTCTGAACACAGATACAATATTCTTTAATTCAAAGATGATTCCACGGAAAAATACATTTTAGTAAATTTTTTTTTTATTTATCTTTATTATTTTATTAAGTAATAGTCAGCAAAGCTTTTGAATTGTAAGGTATGCAATTTTTTGAATCATTTTAAAATATGTATTTTTACATTGCAAAATACAAAATTTGAATGACATAGGTTGAATAGTTTCTGAGAAATC